CATTAGGCAACTGCCGATGTCACTTGGCTCGCTTTGAGAAACACCGTCCGCCTTCAATTTCCTAGGTAGGCCAGCAAACATGCGCCATGCAGCAGTAGTATCTTTTTAGTAGTATCGCAGAGAATTGAATGCATTTTTTTTTTTTGGCCTTGACATAAAAAATGCATTCAATTCTCTGCGATGGAGTGACATCATTGCTGCATTAGAAAGTAAAAACATCGCTCCATACATAATACAGTCAATGAAATCATATTTCTCTGATCGGAAAATAAAATATAATGACACATGTTTTGAAGTGACTAGCGGTGTAGGGCAAGGCAGTGTTCTCTCTGCAATCCTATGGAACATTACTTTTGATTACATTGTTAGGCTACGTACCATTCCCAGATCAGATAAAATTGTATATGCTGATGATCTTCTAATAATTTTGCAATGTTATAGTAAATCATCTCTTCGTAATAACTCATTTAAAATTACTAGACAATATATCAAAGAACTCAAAAAACTGTCACTAGAAATAGCTGTACCCAAAACAGATGCAGTAATAATTAGCGGTTCTAAAGAAGATAGGAAAGATGCAACTGTCCTTGTAGGTAATACTGAAATCCCAATATCAAAATCAATGTGTCATCTTGGTTTTCAAGTTGGAAAAAACTTAACGTTCAACGAACATATTGATACAGTATGCACAAAAGCAAAAAAGGCAACTCAATTTTATAGAAGCCTTCTAGTTAATGTTAATGGCCCTTCCTATCTCAAAAGACTACTTATTATTCATGCAATTATGTCAATTATCTTTTACGGTGTAACAATCTGGTCACATGCTATTAAGTTAAAATACAATCAAGACAGAATTAGAAAAACACTTAGACCTTTAAAAATATCACTATGCTGTGCCTACCGAACTGTGTCTGATTTTGCACTAGATACATTGTCTAGAATAGAACCCCCACATCTACTAGTTAAAAAGAAAAGACGAATGATGATTTACAAAGATCGCAGAGAAGAAACTGAAGAAGAAATCATGAATGAATGGAAGAATGAATGGAATAAAAACACCAAAAATAAATGGATTAAAACTTTAATTAACGATTTTGATGCATGGATGAACAGAACGCATGGATATACAAACTATTATCTTACACAATTTTTTACTGGCCATGGTGATTTTAATGATTATTTATATAGATTTAAGATTAAAACCTCCCCCCTCTGTACAATCTGCAATGAAGACATAAAAGACACGGCGTATCACACATTTTTTGATTGTTCTGCCTTTGTACATCTTAGATATAATTTAGAATTCAAGACATCTTATAGGCTAGAACCATCCACAATCGTCGACTTTATGATCTCATCAAACAATAACTGGCAGTCAATCAGCCAATATGTAGAACATGTACTGAAAAGAAAAAAGACATTAACATCACGTCTTACACAACATACCGAAGAAATGCCTACAGGCGATACCGGTGTTATAACCACAACTTAATGTATATATTAATTATAGTAGTAATTAATTAGTCTTTGCAAATTCTTAACTTTCTTAATCTTATTACAATGTCACTTAATTATTTCTTTACTCCTTATTAGTAGATTGTACATTATAAGTGTTTATTCATCAATAATTATCTCAAACAATTGTAATATGTAAATAAACTAATAAATATGTTATTTCAAAAAAAAAAAAAAAAAAAAAAAGCAGTAGTATCTGATCGAGGATTTTTGTCATGTATTGTCTACAAATCTTGCCCGAGAAAAATTATGTTGCCGCTCGACCTAAAAATTTTGTTACCTGCTCTTTTTTCATATCGACATCTTTATCGGGTTTTGATGATAAATGAATGTTATAATAATGCGAATTTTACAGTGATGATAATCCGCAAACAACACAAGGCAGTGCCTGACTAGAATATATGCAGGAAGCGCTAAACTTTGTTCGTAACTATAAATGAACGAACTTGACTAGACTCAGTGTAACCGCATTTCACATAGCTTAGTTTTCTTCTTGAATCTTATTTTCTTGGCAAAAAACTGAACAATGTAAAGCTATGATGATTCTTGTAATTTCTCTTTGACTAAAAATCCAAAACCGAATTGAAAGCCTTTTTGCGTGGTTGCCTGTTGAAAAAACGATGATATATTAGGCAACACTTCGTCGCTTGGCTGACATAAGGGCGTAACAACACGCTAAGATGAACCATGAAAAGCATTGAATAGTGTGGAGAACAGGGTTCATTGCAGAGTGTAGTTACGCCCTTATGTCAGCCAAGCGACGACTTGATATAACTGGACTGATTTTGGCCTCCAATTCTATTCTTGTTCACACTTCTCATATCGTATGAACATGTTGGATCTTAATGTTAACACACGTCAGTCTCAATATTCATGATTGAACGTATTTCTATCAAACGGAACTATGTGCATTGTGACGTGAGCCCTGTGATGCACATATTCTTATGGTTCTCAGGGCTCATGTCTAAATGCACATAGTTCCGTTTGGCAGAAATACGTCCGATTAGTATTTAACAGTAACATTGAAAAATGGAAGAAGATGGCACCTTTCGTATATACCTAAAGCTCATGGGTACCAGGAAATATTCGTTGGGCTAGCGACAATCTACATTTGAAAAATCTTAGTGAACAACGGACATAATGATAAAATTAAAAAACGCACGTGCATTGAATTTATTAGTTCAGGAGGAGGTATTATTTATGATATGCTAGTTATTTTTAAAAGCATGGTCCACAAGAACTCACGATAAATAGTGCCCGGAGGTCACATCTTAACGGGAGAATTGCCACCCTTTAATTACCGTCTTGATAATTATACCATCCGCGTTGAGGCGCTGGCGTCATTACAATCACTCCTTAGTCGTTGCCAATATTAAAATAGTTGAGGACCTTTGAATTTCTATTCTCGACCATATTTTTACAAGAGCCAGTGGCGTATTCTGCATGTGCGCAAAGGGAGCAGCGTTATTAAAAAAAATTGAGTTCATTATCATTTGGTTAGAAATTTTCTACATATTATCAACTAGAGACACTTAAAATGAAAAATCAGAGAAATTATCACTTTGAGTTTAACACGATTGATAGTGAGGCATGGTTTGTATGTAACAGCACAAGATACAAATCCTGGAGACGGCAACTATTACCGCATGGAGGATGCTTCCTGGCCTACTTCAAAAATTGAAGGCAAAATAGCAACCAAGCGTTGGTTCCTTGTCCCCTTCGTGTCAATTCTGCTTCCTTTAAGTTTTCTGCATGTCAGAATATGCTGTTGTCATCAGTGATATGCGAAACAAAGGCATCATTGATGGACCAACGAGTTCTTGACTACTGGCTTGCGAAAAAAAGCGTAACATTCCTTATAGCACTCTATCACAGTTTCATATTAAACTTTGATCCGGGAAAAATGAAAAAAGGCGGGGAAAAAAAATAACTTTTTTTAAACCATCAACATGACAACAGTGGATCAGCTTCGACGCCCACTATACCGCCGCGCCACTAGTCGGTGGTTCTCATCGCTGCTCCACTCCCAACAATGAGAAGTTGTCTCGTGCGAACTTTTACAGCGTTGCCACGGAGGACGAGCTCTTCGGAAAGTCGGGATTAATATACGCATTTAACTAGAAACACTCAAAAAACAAGTATGGGAAGAGTGACTTGCCGGCCAAGTTATGGATCATGGAGCCATGAAATATAGTTCGTGGAGCCATGCTTATAGGTTCGCTACCAATTAAGTATGGCTCAGAAAGCCATACTATAGACGTTAATTCACTATGGTTGGAAATTATGGATCTCCGAGCCATTTTTTATGGGTCTCAGTGTCATACCTTTTTTTGAGTGTACCTAACTGCACTTCATAATACTTAGTTTTCTCCATTTTTTTTTTTTTTTAACCAAGCTGTGCGACTTGATTTTTGAAACTTTCCATGGATTTCCCTTAGACCATAAACAGTATACTCATAAAATGTGAAGGGAAAATTTTGCTTGGAATTTTTTTTAAATTTTTATTTTAAAGGAGGTAAAAAAGGTGAAAAACACGTGACATTCAATGCATGAATAATGCTGTCTGTTTCTTATTCAAAAGTCACTACAATTTTATTTTTGCATTTTTGTATTTTTGAAATTTTGTTATTGTTGCATATAGGTAATTTCAATTTTTTTTTAAAGTTTTGTTGACCTCTTTATACGTACAAATTGGTATTAGATTGAAAAGTCAGTTTTAACACTAAGTAGTTAAAGTGAGTCAGTCTGACGTCAGATTATGTTTCATAAACTACCCTGAGTCAGACTGATTCAGGTTGATGTCATCCTGAATCAGTCTAACTCCCTTTAACTGAGGCCATACCAATACTAAAGCGGGGTCGCTAAAATCTTTATTCTCATTTTTCTTAATTTTTATTTTAATCAATTCTGTTATTATGTTAGCACCCAATTATTATTGTAATCACAACGTCAGTTTCATATTTAATAATTAAAACTGTGCCAAAGCACCATCCTGCCTTTAAGAAAAAAAAACGATAGTAAGTCTACAGCATATTAAATTTACCATGCCCACATTTGAATAAGCTCTCTTTTAACTTCTCTCCCTTGTATTTTAATAAGTATATGATGCTCTCTTAAATAAAAATTCAGTTGGAATTTTTACGGACCAATCCCAGTGTACGTATTAAATTAAATTTCAGATTACAATTAAAGTTAATGGATCGGTGAGTCAGTACGTTGATGTAAAAATCGTTTTTGATTTCATCATAGTTTCAACAGGATTTTATTAGAATTATACGCTATTCTTCTCTCCACGTCGAGAGCATATTAAAATCATAAAACCCTAAATTGTCAGTTTTTAATAGCATAACTGGTCTGAAACTGCCTAAAATGCCAAAAGCAAAATAAAGAATGATACTGTTCGAGGTTTTCAAGGTTACTTTGACCTGGCAACAGCGAGATTGAGCAAGAAATCATCATCTGCAGCACTTAATGATTCATTCACCAAACCAGTCTTACATATTCTTTGCGTCTCATGCACGCGTTCCGCACGATTCACCGGGTCTTTAAACGCGTTTGATGTTTTTCGTGTTTAAAAAGTGATTTAATTTATAACATGAGCAAGTACTTATTTACGCAAATTGTTAAATCCCTAACGGTCTAATTTCTTAAATTTGCGATTGTGCTGTGCATAAAAATGCTTTTAATTCCACTATTGACGTTCGTATTCGGTTATGTCCTGTATGCATTAACAAAATTAAGGCTCCGATATTATAGACGGTATGGAATGTTGGAAAAAATACCTGGTCCACCAATGGAAAGCAGGATATTAGGACACACCTCCCTGATGAGTCTCACACCTGAAAGTGAGTATTTAACGTAATTTCGTCGTCTCTCGGACGAAAGAACGAAACTCCATTCCAATGTTGCAAAATTGACTCAAGCAACTCAATATTTAACAAGAATAGACCAGTGCAATTTTTGCAGAAAATTAGTTTGATTTTCGCATAAAATCAGAAGAAAAATCGGTGAATTTTTAAGTCAGAAATTGCCAAAATTCTCTTGGTAAAAATGCAATCGGCGCGAGGAAATTTGGCAACATTGAAATTAAGTTACGTTCCTTCGTTCGGGAAACGACGATTTATGCACCTGATTCGAGCTGCAGCCCGGCTTATAAACCGACAAATATGGGTTTCAATTTTTCATGAAAAACAAAATCTTGAAATTTCACGTGAAATATTTCATGAAATTTCAAACATTTATGAAAGATATTAAAAACACCGGTTCCTTTTCATGTTTCGCAAAATGTATAAATTGTGACTTTCCTCTGTTTTTGGACGTTTTAGTTCGGGTTGCATGCCCTAGCCCCTGAAAAATATGAAGTATTTTACATGACCTCGTGAAATTTCATGAAATATTCACGGAAATTTCCAATATTTCATATTTACCATTTCACGCGTGCAACCCTGAATCCAGAGAAACTCGAAAATTTGTGGCTAAAACACTGAAATAATGATATTTAAGTAAAGAGATTCCTGAACGTGGTCTCCATGCTTAATTAAGTATATTGAAGCAACATTTATAGAGAAGAGTTGAGATACTCTTAATCCTGAACTTTACTTATGTGCCAAACTCTTGCTGAAGTTATGATACATCATCATTTACGATCAGAATTAAGGTTAGGCCATGCGAAACGTGCGCTCAGATAGTGAGTTCATATCATTGAAAATGCACATAAGTCTTGAATATCCTCATTGTGCTCTCTCCAAATAGACTCAAAATGATTTTATTTTCTTTTTTTTCTCAAATTTTAATACCTTCCGGAAGCACATATTTTAGCCCTCTCGAATGATAATGATTTCAATAATTTGTAATGTGGTTCAATGTGGTAATGTGGTTCTCTACGTAATATTTCAGCTAGGTTGTTGATGCACCGATTTCAATACATTCTTCAGACATTACACTGCGACAATTGCCACGGAAAATGCTTGTAGCCGCCTTAGAAGCAAGCTTTTTCTATCAAATGATGTTTTGAATGTACATACATTTTCAGAATTTTTCCCTCTTGCCATCGAAGATAGACATAATAGGAATGCTCTCAACACAAAATGCTGATAGTATTTTGAGAAGGGGTGAAAGGCAAAGTCGTCGTAGCGTACTTGAAATACTCATTATGTAACATTTTTAAAACAAAAATATTTTTTTGACACAGTTGGGATGAAATATGCTTAATTTAGAAGTTATTCGTCGATCAACAAGGATTCATACATTTGCAATGTTATTTATTGAATTTCAACTCAATTATTTGTGACGATCCTCAAAATACACGTTTTGCCATTGAAAACTATACTTCGTATCCATTTCATACTTTTTATTTTTTTTAAAAGAGAAAATATTTAATAATTAAGTTTAACCTAATGTCCTTCAGCGCGCCTTGATTTTGTCAGCCGATTATCCAAGGAATATGGTGGTATATCTCGACTTTGGATGTTTTGGCTACCGGAGGTCCTGATATCTGATGCTGATTACGCAGAGGTTTGTCACAGATCTTTCGAATACCTTACAACTTTACATTTTTTGCAATCCACTCATAGTGTGTGTGTTTTTTTTTTCCTTTCTTTTTTTAAATTACTTATTTTTCAAAAGTGCCGTGTGGTACTATACCATGAAACGTATTCCAATTCACGCAATTTTGTTATAAATCTTGGGCCGACTGAACGCAAACCAATTCGGAGTATTTATCCTTAGAAACAAAGCTGATGAAGGCTTCTGTAAAATCTGCATGGAGCCAATCATTGGATAATCGCAATGGGCATATATGAGCAGGACTAAAAATTTTTTCTTGGCCTCGAATAAGCGAGAGAAATTAGTTGGAAACATTACCTGTGCACCAGACTCTCATCAGTCACACTCCTCTGTAGTAGATTTTTACTTCTTCTACCCTTATAACGATTTCAATCCCCTGCCGCAAAAAGTGCACCGATTTCTGATTGGTCTATCAATTGGAGGCTTTCGAGTAGCCCTAAGAGTTTATAGAATAATACACGGAGAAAAAAAACTCGTGCGTGGGACCCGAAGTTTAGGTCATATGGATCTCTGAAGTTTTCAGATTGAGCATCTGAACACTTTAGGTCTAGCTGCCGAAGTTCGGATCATACATCTGAAACTTCAGTTCTTACATCTGAAGTACTTCAGATGTGAGAACCGAAGTACTTCGGATGTAAGAACCGAAGTACTTCAGATGTAAGAGCTGAAGTTTCAGATGTATGATCCGAACTTCGGCAGCTAGACCTAAAGTGTTCAGATGCTCAATCTGAAAACTTCAGAGATTCATATGACCTAAACTTCGGGTCCCACGCACGAGTTTTTTTTCTCCGTGTAGAGGATTTACAGATAATAGAGTATAGGATTAATCAAGTTATTTGAAGTCAACTCACAGTACTTTCGCTCGAGAATGGTACTTTTGGAGAGTGCGGTGCATGATAACTTACCTGAAAAGAGAAAAGAAAAAACAAAAGTCAGTCAAATAGCCTATGGAGGAAAACCTCAACATAAATCGAAGCGTTGGGCGTAGAAAGGACATTTCTTGGTTGCGGAGTTTCAAAATCTCCAGTAATGTTTCATCAACTATAATTAAAGCAAATGTATTTTACAAAATGTTCTTTATGATTTTACAATGCTGAAAACGGAACAATTTCAGAAAATTTACCCGATCGTTTCCTCTCTAGAGCATAAAGAGGTGAAGGTACTGGACCAAAGCAACCGAGAGATGCCTTTTTTGTACCCAACGCCTTAATTATGACTTATACATAAAATTGACCACTGTAAAGTCTCATTGATTCGAACAATCTGATAGGATCCGCAGGGACCTCTGCAAATGTTTTCATAACCGAAAAATGGAGTGCTAATCCAATCTTATTTCATAGATAGTTGTTAGAACTCGTGTGTTTTTAGTGTTCTGTGTGATAATGGAGATATGTATCAAGTTACACTTTTTTCTCCTCAGGTATACTTCCATGCCAAAAGTCTGGAGGAGAAATCCCATTTTTATGCGCAGCTTCACGACTGGCTGGGCAACGGGTTGCTTACAAGTGGAGGTAAGTGCGATACTGCGCGTGCTAAGGAAAAACGCCGTATGAACACTCAAATGTTGTCAGGTCTCTCGCCATTAATTGTGTATTTTTGAGAATGGCCATGAATATTTCTTCTTGAAATCTTCAGATATTTTGGATAAAATTGTGATTGAAATTCTCCGAGAAATCGAAAAAGAATATTCATAAATTTTCCTGGAATCCGTGATTCATCAGAGGAAATTTGGCAACGTCTGAAGGCTTATACGGCGTCCTTCCTTAGCACGGCAGTATAACGTCATAGCTGCATAAGTGCATAGCGTACAGGGTAAATTGTTTGCACCTTACAATGATAGGAACCTCTGTACTTCCATCAAAGTGTCAAAATTTTCGCCCCCGTAATATTTTTCTAATTTCATCTTGTGAGGAAAAACGAAACAACCACCTCCCTTGAGATTTTGTACCTAAGTTTCTTCGCAAACACTTCGAGAATATCTCGGTTGATATTGAATGTTGAAAAAGGACTTGCTTGAGCTGCAGATATAATTAATTTATAGCTGATCCACATGAATCAAACATCAAAACACGATTCTGTGACCAGCGCGACTGACCCATTGCGATTTGCTCTGAACGGCCTCAATCCTAGTCCAATCAAATGCATGGATTTGAAACTTGTCTTGGCGGATTTCAGGTGAGCTATGGCACGAGCGGCGGAAACTGATCACCCCGGCGTTTCATTTCAACGTCCTGAATGCTCTCTGCGACACTTTAGTACAGAATGCAGTCGTTCTCATTCGGAAACTGCGCGAGCATCCGAAAGACACGCCGGTCAACGTGACAACGTTGATGCATCTAGTCGCTCTGGATAACATTTGCGGTGAGTTTGTGAACATCGTTGGTTTGTAAATCATTTAAAACAAAAAATTGGTGCAATGGGTCCGTTCCAAAAATTGATAGAACTGAGAACTTTTTGTGGGGAATGCATGAGGGGTCTTCGTGTTAGGGGGTCTAGAGGACACTAAAAGACACCTTCCTAAGGAGGATTTGTCCTGTGATTTGAGGATTAAGGAGGATCCCCCCCCCCCTCCGCTGCAAAGGGTGATTCTGGGGATTTGTCTAGCGTGAAAGAGGGGCTTGGGAGGCCTCTCCTAGAAAACTTCAAAAAATTTAGTCGTCTAAGAGCAATTTTGAGCTGTTTTCACCAACGCATTGATAAAATTAAAATTTCAAGGATGAAAAATATATCACACTTTATTCGTCAAAATCCTTCACGTTTTTTGACACACAAATGTTGTGCGAACCTATTCTGCCGTACTAAGGAATGTATGAGCCTTCAGGCATTTCCAAATTTTCTTTAACAGATCATGAATTTTTGGGGAAATTTTTCAATATTTTTCTTCCAATTTTTTAGAAAATTTTGTTCATAATTTGATCCAAAGAGTCTCAAAATTTCAAAGAAAAATATTCAGCGAGTTTTTCAAAAATAAATATTTCACGAGAGGCAATTTGGCAACATTTGAATGGTCATACGGCTTTTTCCCTTGGTACGGCACCATTAGAAGGTAGTGTTCCTCTTAAGTTTGCCTTCAATTTCACCATACAGGCATTGCACCGCCTGAGTAACGCAAATAGATATCTCTTCGAAAAACGCACATTTAGCTCGCTACATGAACTTTGCTGGAATCACTATAGCCAATGCGCAAACCTGTCAATATTTATGAGTAACTTTAGGTGCGCCTTCATTTTTTGCCGCATATGCAACAAGCATACCTAGAAGCGCGAATTCAGTTTAATGTCCGAAAGAGCCCACCATTACATCGCTCCATGAACTTGATTTCACCGATTAACAACGTGAAGCTGTGAACATATTGGTGGATATTGTCTTTTAAAGTTCGTCTTTAATTCTGTTGCAAAGGATATACACCTACCAAGGGCTTTGAATACTTATACATTTCAATTCATGAAGATAACTTTGCGAAGTTATACGGACCTGGAAAAGCACGAGAGTAGGAGACTCGGTGCGTATATGTCGCAGGCAATTAGCAATCGCCGGCAATTTGCAAGCTGTTCACACGTTGTTTCAATTAATCGCAATAATGCGCATCGGCATAATGCAATTTTTAAGGGCTATGGTCTTCAAAAGTATGAGCTCGGCTTGAAGCGCCTTCATTTTTTGTGATACTCAACGCTTTGTTACAATGTTAGTTTAGTTGCCTGTTCGATCTCAACCCAATTAGTGTCACGGAATTCATTGCATGCTCTCCTAAGTCTACATATTTCTACCATGTTTTTAAGGATAGAAAAGTGTCCATTCACATCATAGGCAACATAATCAGCACTCTAATCTTGTTCTTTTAATTTTGTATTTCTTGATTTTCTATATTTATTTACCTACCACTGGCTTGTAAATTGCCGGCGATTGCCAATTGCCTGCGACATATATACATTATTGGGGCCGCATTTAACAAAAAGGAACCAAGCTACATCAGCTACTGGCAAATTTGACTCGGCAATTTCATTTTTCACGAGAGAACGTTTGTGCGGATTCCTTGGAAAATTTTTAGGAATTTGCTTCTCACTATGGAGAACATTCACTGGAATTTGCACGTAAATCTGCACAACCGTTTTCATGTAACAAATTAAATTTCCCGATTAAATTTGGCAATAGCTGATGTGGCTTTGTTCCTTTCTGTTTAACGCGGTACATTCTTCGATGGTCATCTCGGCCATTTACAGAATGCCTATCGGATCATTTCTGCATTCAATTTAATTTACGGGCTTGAACAATACATCTCGGTAACTTTTGTATACTTTTTATTTCAGAATCTGCAATGGGGATCAAAATCGACGCCTTAAACAACCCAAAACTGGAGTACATTCAGGCAGTAGAAGAGTGAGTAACCAGTGAGCCATAATATTATTCTTAGGAGAGTTTAAAGCGCGAAACCTAAAAGTTTTGCCTCTATTTTAAAGCGATTGCTGATATCAGTGGCATTTCCAAAATAGAAAATTTTTTTCACAAAAACGCAATTTTTCGATATTTTTTATTTTTTATCGGAGGACCCCCCGAGAAATTTTTACCTGAAATTCCATCTTTAAGGAAATATTTTTGGCTAACTTCTTGACATACGCTAGAATGTCCTTGGTAGAATATCCGTCGATTATCCATCAAGGAGCCTCCCAAAATAAGGGCTGACTTTCGCCCCTTTTTCGGTAATCGATTCGACCATCGAATCAAAAATTCATCGAATCAGGGAGTCAGCAATCGCCGGCAATTTGCAAGCTACGTACTTGTCAATTCGTCAAATTTTAATTACGATAATATCGATTTAGTAAAGATTTCTATACGTCCTCAAACCCAGCGATACTCTCCGCTTTGCCAAGGAGTTTGTTTTGTTGCTTAACCGAACCTAACACAGATTATTGATGACATTTCACGAACTCGCGAGTGTGCTAGCTGGCACCATGTATCCAAGAAGAAGGGGCTAACGTATGTTTGAATTCAAAGCATAATAATCCCTACTTCCAATCTCGTTTTTTCACTTTAAAACGATTTAGTACTGTTACTTTAAACTGTTCGGTAATTTTTCACGGGATTTTTTTTTTCAGCGCTGGCGTCATAACTATTCTTAGAGGACTCCGACCTTGGTACTGGGGCAGGTTATTCTACTACTTACCTCTAGGTCAAAAATATAGGAGGAGTTTGGACATAATTTTTGAACTTGCTCAAACGGTAAATATTGCTCATTTAGAATAAAAATGATAATATAAAGATCTGTGATATTTACTTCATTGGCGGTATAAGTGACAATAGAATTAAGTTGAGAGGTAAGAGAAAGAAGCAAAACATCTCCAAGTAGTATCGCAAGCGCCATAAATTGAATTAATTTCATTATAATTCCTCGATGCAACTCTTCTTTTCAGCAGCGCGGCAGCAGTGCTAATAAGTAAAGATTTTTAGAGCAACAACTCGTGCCTAAAAGACAAGTTCGTTGTTAAAACGAGGAATGGAGATGTTGCATGTATGAGGAATTTGCGATTTGACTGTCGATTCTTATGTAAAAGTTCGCGAGAAATACGATGGTGCCTCTGGTTTTCTCTGAAATCATCTCCCAAGCCAAAGAAAAGCTCTCAACTTGAGGCCAAAATGGAGGGGATATCCCACGCTATCCTGAGAGTCCACCTCTATATGAAAACAAACTCTCCATGCAAAGATAGGGAGCAAGTACATTAGCAGTGATGCCGTGTTTTCAATTTTTGAGTCTCCAAATAATGTGGCAGCCCTGCCAACGTATTTGCTCCCTGTCTTTACATGGAGAGTTTGTCTTGATGTGGAGTTGGACTCTCAGGATAGCTTTGGATATCCCCTCCATTTTGGTCTCAACTTGAGAGCTTTTTTTGAGCTTGGGAGTTGATTTCAGAGAAAACCAGTGGCACCATCGTGTTTCTCACAAACTTTTACATAAGAATCAATGGTCAAATCGCAAATTCCTCACACATGCAACATCTCCATGGAAGGTGATCCATCATTTTGGATCCTCACAGCACAACCCACCACCTCAGGTGAAGCGGTAAGTGAACAGTCAAAACGCCTTCACTCTCGTGCGTATGCAACCCGGACATCCGTGGAGCCCGAATAGTTGCGCCGAGGTGTTACAGTTTTTGTTCAGCGCTCGTCGCATGCGATACTAACTAAGGGAACTTTTCTCGTTTCAATAACGCATCAACTTAATTCCAGTATCGCTTTTGTGTCGATGAAGTAAGTTGTTACTTATGTTTATCGCGACATCGTCATTTTTTCAAAACATGCATTGATTGTTCGAATGTATTACAACGGAGCTGGTCTTCGAAATCACAAAAATCAAGGCATCTGACTCTGAGCAAGATTTGTGGAGTTTCTTGACCGACATTAACAAGACGTCCTTTGTTCGGAATTTTCCGCCTTTGGGAACAATACTTTACGTTTAGGCACGAAATCTCCAAAGAACAATGTTCGAAGTCACCTAAAGTTCCTCACACAAATTTCTAGTAAAACCTTTTACAAAAATCATGAGTACCTTTCCTCTTAAGTTTATTCAGGTATTTGCGCTTTTAGGATGAGTCCTGACACCCTCTCTTTGCCCTATTCGGCTAAGCATTTCTCACTTTTGGGGTTTGCGCCTTTGGATGCCGTCTTTGCGTTGACCAGATAGTATAAATAAGTCCAATTTATACCTAATTTTAAAATTGCCTTAAAGAATTCTTTACTTTGCTTTCTTTCAGGCTATCCAAAATAGCAGAAATAAGAGATCTTTACAGCAGAAAGCGACCGACGTTGTGAACGAAAGTAAAGGTATCAAAAACTGATATTAATCCCGTTTGAAGTTAATTTTCTCTAGAAATTTCGCATACTCTTGTGGACGAGAATTTATTGGTCACTAAAATGATGACTGCGGGGTAAAATATAACAAAAAAAAAAAAACGATGGTTCAAGAATTTTTATTTTACGGATCCGAAATTGATCAAATCAAAGATGTGCGAACATAGTGGACCATGCAATGGGCAGGGTAAGAATTGAATCACCGCAGAGTATATTTTCTCATGAGACTTTTACGTCTAATACGTTAAAAATGTTGAAAAATTTCAAAATTATCTGATAAAAATGAAAATGTAGTGTCTAGTCTACATTTGAAGGAAATTCGCCGACAATTTAAACAAAATTTGATTAGTTTTCCTCTTGAATGGAAGTGAAAACTGAGCAATAATTTGTGACGTCGGTATCGGGAGTATGCCATTTTTTACTTCAACCATCGATAAAAGTACCAGTAGAGTAATAGTACATGGTAACGGAATTGCATCTCTGCTATTACAAATTGTACGTATAATCGACTTGTTTTTTCTGTTTTAAAGAGAAAAAGAGATTGGCATTCCTTGATATTTTGCTGGAAGCTTGTGATTCAACGACCAATCCATTATCAGATGAGGGTCTCAGGGAAGAGGTGAACACCTTCATGTTTGGCGTAAGTAAAATCTTTCACCTAAATCAATATGGAGCATCACATTGTTTACCCTAGGTAACAACAAAGTTTTCAGTTATGGTAATCAAAGTTGGTTCAGGTTATATAAGTTTTTGACAGCCACACCAAGACTGGCATTATTTACCAAAGATTTCACTTGCCTGATCCGAGGCTCAAATTTTATAACAGGAAACTTTAGTTAACTAGACCTATGGCTTTGGTATTCCATAAGCACCGAAATTCTATCTTCGTAGCAGAATTTATTATTCTTCGTGCAGAGATCATATGGACTTATTTCTGCCAAACAGAACTATAAACATTAAGACGTGAGCCCTGAGACCCATAATAATATATGCATAACAGGGCTCACGTCTTAATGCACGTAGTTCCGTTTGATAGAAATACGTCCATATATTTAATAGTTTTCAATCTAATTTAAAAAAAAAATTATCATCTCAGCTGTACTGGCATGCAATATGCGCTTGTAACGCTTTCCAACACAGCGCATAAGCGGTCATAATTTAATTTTTTCGACGGAAAATCTCAAAATTGACAATCGACTGGTCTTTTTTTCAGGGGCACGAGACAACGGCAGTGTCAATGGGTTTCACCCTGTTTCTTTTGGGAAATCATCCCGACATTCAGGTAATACCGCGTCCATGATTTTGGCTAATACTGATACAGCCTTCCACTGAATAATTTGGAAAAGAACCAAATAACAATCGGTTCTACAAAAAATAAAATTCATCCCTCCTTTACTTGCAACTTTCAGTTTACTGATTAAATTTCGATTGCATTTTCCAAAAATGAAAAGAGAGCATTCCAATACTTGCTGTGAGGAGCATAAAACAGACAGGGCCGCATACGAAAATAAGGGGAGGACGATTATGCCACATATCGACGGTGAAACTACCAAACCACGTATCTCGGTTTGCGACGTCGCAGACTTCCTGTCATACTTTATTTTTTAAATAAAAAACTACTTAACATCCAGTCTTGAAAATGTCTGTGATTTTTCCTCTTTGTGCGGAGAAAATTCCGTAAAAATTTCAAGGAATGATATTAATTTGGTCTACTTCAAAAAAATAAAATGTGAGCGTAGATTTTTAAACACCGCAAACGAGATACGTGGTTTGGTAGTTTCACCGTCGATATGTACCTACGAGGACGAAAAGCAAGCCTAAAAACCACTTGCAATTCCATCAAAAGTCGATCAGTTGAGGGTTTTTAACTCTCAGCACATTAACTCAAAGAACGTGAAGTAATTCCTTACATCATAAATTAAGTACATAAGAGATACCATTGTACGATACAATTCAAATCATATCTGAATTTGCAGGTTTTGATGAAGGAATTGGCTGTCACTCAGTAACAATGGCCTATTTTGGTCTTATTTTTTCAGGAAAAATGCTATGAGGAGCTTGATGATATTTTCCAAGGATCCGATAGGAAAGCGACGGTGGATGATCTGCGATCAATGAAGTATTTGGAACAGGTCATCAAGGAAAGCTTGCGACTATTTCCCAGCGCGCCTATGATCTCGAGAAAAGCAAAAGCGGATACTAAATTTGGTAAATTTATTTATCCTAAAGGTACTAAAAGGACATTTTCGACTTAAGCCTCTTAAAGGTTGAAGCCAATATTTGGAGCCAAAACGGGGCAAGTCACTATTTAAATTGCTAGGGAGTTAGGAATTGGCAGAATGACAAGAAAATGAATCACAGCACCGCACTAAATTACGTTTCGTTCATTATATTTTCACGCAGCAAAGAGTACTGAATGATTCCAGGCTCCATGTCTAACAGGAAACGGCATTAATATGAACGTTTATGGAATACCTCTACTAAAAAGTTGGTGCATAGTGTGATGATAAGTATTGCAAACATTTCTTTTTTTATCATCAGGCAGATTCCTGATTTTTCTGCGGACCATGTGCAATTAGGTTGTTTTTAAAAATGGATTTTACTCCATAAAACTCCAATTTTAGCAAATCTTTAAGTTTTAATTCAGTCAAATCTAAAAAACGTACAACACATCAATTATTGGAGCAAGTTGGAACATGATGATCTACCCTTGCGAATGCATCGGAATGGATTTACCCAAGTTGATAAAATTACTCGCATCCATTTAAATCTACCATAATTCATTTCAGCAGACTAATCAAAAAGTTGATATGAATGCATTTCTGTCATCAAACGAAACTATGTGCGTTATGACGTGAGCCCTGTTATTCATACATTCTTAAGGGTCTCAGGGTTCATATCTTAATGCACATAGTTCCGTTTGGCATTTATACGTTCGTATAAATTTTCTGGCCGGTCAGAAAAAGTTAGTGCTTAGCTTATGAATTCCGAGGCGTTGGGAAGTCAAACAATGATACTTTGAGGAGTTAATAAAAGCCAGTCAACCACTGGTTGAAATCGGTTCATTCGTACTTATTCGAGTTAGATCATCTCTATTTTCGCAGAAGGCACATAATGTGTACTATTATGCTGTTTTTTCAGGAGATTACGTTGTACCGGAGGGCACATTGGTAACTTTCAGCATTTACGCGCTGCATAGAAATCCGAAATACTTCTCAAATCCCGAGAAGTTTGATCCTGACCGATTTAGCCCGGAAAACATTAAAGGCCGACATCATTATGCTTACACGCCTTTTGCTGCTGGATCCAGAAATTGTATAGGTGAGATCATAACTTGTGTACATTGCGTGCTAATGGTAACATCAAGCGTTATACCAAGAGTCTTGGGGCGTAGTTACAGGGGTAAATAGAAATTACCTACTAGATTCACTTTCACAAAAAACAAAAAGCAAAAAAAAAAATGAAATATCAGGCAACTTTTCTCTTTAAAAGTGGGCTGAAGGAGTGGAAATCTAGGGAATTAATTAGAGATAGCGCGGTTCAGGTGGGAGCAGAATATTGAATCTTCTAATAAAAATTATTAAATTATTTGATTAAAGTTACGTTATTTGTATTCTATTTATTTTTCTTTACCATAAATTTACTGATATTTCCTGAGATCAGATAAATTGCGAGAATCAACCGTTAGTTGATCAATGGTAAGTCGGTTACGTCGTGTATTAATTTATTTAATTTACTCTGATTCTAGGTCAAAAATTTGCCATGATGGAGGAAAAAGTGGTGTTGTCCTCCATTTTGCGAAATTTTGTTTTGGAGTCTATTCAACGCGAGGATGAGTTAAAATTGCAATTTGATTTAGTTCAACGGCCACTAAAACCTATTGAAATTAAATTTAAACCCAGAAATACTGTCTGAAATGAATAAATTCGTGTGAACAAATAAAGTTGTTTTATTGTTGTGTTTTCTTCCATAAAGCATTTTCTAGTATAAGGAAAACTCTTGAAATTTAACAGGTTTTTTGATTTTCCTATTCTTGAAATTCAAACTGATACTTCACTCGATTTTCTCCTCAGTATTTCTTCTTTTCTGAGAAAGAATCAAACTATTGTGGGGAGGGGAAAGGATACCAAATAAAAGAAAGTTGTGAGAATTTTAAGTGAAAAATAATTTAGAGTAATGACTCTCAGGTCAAATCTCAAAGATCGGTAAATTGTTATTCTGTCTGGCATAATAATATCGATGACTAAAGAACAAAACCACGTATCTTCGTTTCCGACGTTGCAGACTTCTTTTCATTCTTCATTTTTCCTTTAGGAGACCGGTCAACGTAACTTCTTCAAAATTGTCTTGATTTTTCTTGTCTGCCAGCAAAATATGCTACGTCAATTCCAAACTATGGAGTCGGCTTGTTTTTCTTCAAAAAGTAAGTAATAGCGGAAATTTTGAAACATCGCGATCAAGATACATGGGTTTGCACTTTAGCCATCGATATGATGATTCAGAATCTCATAATAAATATCACTGTTTATATTTTCGTTACAGCAAAATTCATCCAGTGCTGCTCGAAAATGCCCGTAATAAAAACCGAATCCCCGGTGCTTAACATTGCCGGATACATTAAGTTTGCCAATCTCACACTTTCAGTTCAAGTATGTGACTTTGATGCGAAAAAATGATAGTTTCAATTCAAAATGGGCCAACATGACAACGATGCGTAAAAACTCACACCCACTAACGCCAGTATATTACTGGTCGGTGGATCCCACCGGGGCCTCACTCTCGAACAACAAGCAGTTGTCTATTGGAGCTTTTACAGCGTTGCCAACCGAGACAAGCTTTCGAAGCTTCCAATGAGAATCTATTGAAAATAAATATCCACCAATCATCCTTGAAATCTTAAAAAGCCTAATCTCATGCTTTCACCGCTCAGTTTGATTTTAAAGGCTTGTTATTTACTGCCTCCAACGCATGAAATCAGGCCGAAAAATCAGTACTATCTCTGAGTCGGTGTTACCACTTACGAGTACCGTAGCGACCGATAAGATGTTACATAAATTTGAAATCAAGCATACAGTTATCACTAACAGATTATCTATGCAACGATAGATCATCCTTTTGCAAAAAAAAAAACATTACCTCATGGAACAGATTGAGTTCAGCATGTTTTTATTGATATACTAGAGATGCTGCCAACGTGTTGGAATGTTAACTACGTTTCTACAGTCGAGTCCCAGTAAACAAGTTGAATCGAACGTCGGTTCCGTATGACAACGCTGCGTTTGTGCATGACGTTATCATCTGGAGCACCCACTAACCGATCCGCCATACCCTTCTCACCTACTCTGTGCATCCCATTCATGCATTCTCCGCATTTCAGCGGTTCTTCACAGTTTGTGATGTTTTTACCGTCGGAGTTTGGTCAGTGCTAGTTTACATTGTAAGGCAGGAGACACACGAATAAAAGAATCCGTGACGGTCTTATTGAATTTGTGATTGTGCTGTGCGTGCAGGAAAAATGATTTTACTTTTACTACTCACGTTTGCTATCGGTTACGTCTTGTACTTTTTGTCTAAGTTCGTGCCCCGATATAACAGACAGTATGAACTGATGGAAAAGATACCTGGTCCACCGATTCATAGTAGAATATTGGGAAATATCTCACTCATGATGGCAACACCTGAAAGTATGTATTCATCGTTCTTTGATTGGAAGCATGATTCGAATAGAAATGCCCCCTCCCCTCAAACATGCAGTATTAAAGTAAAACTAAAGCTTTGTCGAAATTTAAGTCTGAATTGGACGAAAAACTATCCTAGGAAAAAACCAGGCAAAAATTACGAATCACAATAGACACATTAAAAAAGGGTGGAATTCAATTTTGAGCAGACGATTTGCGTCGTTTTGTCGCTTTTTCAAACTTCTCGCGTCTGAAAGGCAGTTTTTCTCAGTCGCTGCAGGTCGCAGGTTTGTCCAGAAAGAGACTTAACAAAACGCATTTGGTGATGAAAAACTGGGGTCGATTCGATCGACATGAATCGATCGAAAAACAAAAACGTGAATCGATCGACACCGATTTGATCGAAGTGAATCGATCGACAATTAATTAAAAAAAATCGGTGTCGATTCGATCGATATGAATCGATCGAATCCATACCCTCCAACGTATTCGCCTAAATAAACAAAGAATCTCGCAATCTATTTCTCTTGTATGATTTCAATAGTTTTCAAGCGTTTGTTCCCTCCATTTTTCTTCGTTTGGCAAACGTAATAACATTATATCAATTAAAATCAAAATCATACGTAATGTAACAGCATTTAAGTGACCTTTTTATAACTAATTTTGAGGAAAGTTCTGACAATCTGAAGCTTCCACATTAGCGGCGATAATGGAGAAAAATTAGTAATTGAGATGAAGCCTGTCCATATGCAAAATTTCTCCTTTAAATGGACTGCATCTCGCAATGAGGAGCCAGAATTTATTTTGGGAACGACATTCCGTGCCATTTATTTCTTTATGTAGATAGGTTCTTTTACAAATGAACCAAAACCAGTTGTTTCTTATTATTAAATTCGTTGCATGTACATACAAAATAAAGGAAATACCCTCAGAAAAACAGGCGTAACATGTCACACAAAATATTGCGCCATAGTCCCCTTCCCCCCCCCCGCCTGGTTTTCATAGAATAATGTACTTGAAATAAAGAGTTTTTATCCCATTTCCCACTGCACTTATTGTTTTCTTGAAAAGAAGGTTAGGAAAAGCATGGTACGATACAAATACATGACGTCATTCATGGTGTTTTTGAAGCGTGAAGATATCTATAAATAAAATAACTAACTAACTTACTAACTAACTCATTGTTGATGTTGCGAGGCCCTAGACTTGGCCTCTAAATGGACTGCGTTAAGCAGAAAGGAACCAAGCCACATCAGCTAATACCAGCATCAGCTGATTGAGAAATTTATTTTTTAAAAGAAAACGGTTGTGCAGATTTTTCTGCAAATTTCAGTGAATTTTCTATATAGCACGAAGCAAACCCCTAAAAATTTCAAAGGAATCTCCACGAATTTGCTCTTGTAAAAAATTTAATTGCTCCGTTAAATTTGGCGATATCTTATGTGGCTTGGTTCAGTTTCATGCGGCCATTGCAATATGGCCAGCTACACATGGAAACAATACACGTATCGAAAAAAAAAAGCACTTCCGCACATATACAACATGAAATGACAATTCATTCAGAAGCCATTCATTCATTAATATCAATTCATTCATCTGTTTCACCGGTGGTAATGAGTTGCAACACGATTATACTCTATGAAATTTGCGACATCAGTCGATTTTCTACTGCGGATCTGCCTTTTTCTTCTTTTTTTTCATTTTTACATTATTTGAATCAGTGAGAACGCAAACACACCAACTCGAAAAAATGAAAATAATCAAGACACACACAAAACTGCACAGAAGGTGAAGAAGTTAGTGTGAGAAAAAGATTTTCGGTGCCTAAAGACAAGTACTTAAGGACACTTTAAAGGTCCAAATTGGAACAGAATGCGCTAATTTCAATGTTTATGAAACTGACTGTCTTCAATGAAAATTGAGCATTTTCGAGTAACCGAGTTGGTGTGTTTTCGTTCTCACTGATTCGTTTGAGAATAGAGAAAAAATAAAACGAAGTTTTCCGTCAACTTTTCAGATTTGCCTACATTGATCTACGACCAATACAAAGCATATGGCGGTATAATACGGCATTGGATATCCGTCATACCTACCGTCATGGTAGCTGAAGCTGACTATGCAGAGGTTTGTTGAAGTTTTATAGTTACCTGAGCTTGATTTTTAATATTTTTCTTTATTAACTAATAGTATTAGCAATCCATGCCTTTGATTATGCTACACGGAGAAAAAAACTTCTTACGTGGGTCCCAAAGTTTAGGTCGTATGGATCTCTGAAGTTTTCGGATTGAGCATCCGAACACTTAAGGTCCAGCTGCTGAGATTTGGATCACACATCTGAAACTTCAGTTCTTACACCTGAGGTACTTCGGTTTTCACACCCGAAAAACTTCGGTTCTCACTTCTGAAGTACTTCAGATGTAAGAACTGAAGGTTCAGACGTGTGATCCGAACCTCGACAGCTAGACCTTAAGTGTTCAGATGCTCATTCTGAAAACTTCAGAGATCCATATGACCTAAACTTCGGGTCCCACGCACGAGGTTATTTTCTCCGTTTAGGACCTCAGATTAGTAAAATTATACAGAGTATATATTCATGTGGAGCATTATACTTAAAGAGAACAAAGTTGAAAGGGAGCGTTTATAAATTACGTGACGATCTAGGGGGATGGGTGTGTGAACCATTGAACCTGCGTTAAAGTGGGAGGGGGGGGGGGTTAGTTCCAGAGTTCCAGCGATACATAAACTTTTCGATTGGTAACACAAAATCTTAAGGAAGTTCGCGCACATTTATGCTAGTCGTCAGGCGCTGCACCGATCTACGCAGCGTTTAAAATAATTTTGGGATCGGGGGGAGGGAAGGGGGTCCGCCGAACGTTACGCAATTATTAAGGGGGGCCGAAGTTACGTCACGGTTATTGGAGGGTGGGATGGACCAAAAATGCCAGAAAAAAGCGTTGTGTAAATTACGAACGCTCCCGAAATCTGGCAAGTGAGCTCTTAGAATAATTATTGAGCTCTAATAATATTAACTTGATGACAAAGGAACTATATGCAGCCCATGACTCATGACACATAAGTGCAATACAATGAAAAAAAGTTGTAAATAAGGAAGACAAGGAGAGGACAAAAGCTGAAACGTTTCATTCGATTACTCAGACAATTATACATCGGAAACACAATAATCAAAAAAATAATCAATATCAATCAAAACCTGTATGTAAGGTTAGAGGAAATAATTTCTCTAAAATAAATTGCATTCTCTGACCTTACCTATGCAGTTTTCGACTGATTTTTATTTTTTTAAAAATTGATCGTTCTTCCCCATTTTAACCCTCTCCAACGCGCACTTTTCAAATAAATCCAGACGCCTCTTGCTCCTCCTAAATGTGGCGTAATTTTTGAATCGCCCCGAGTATCCTTAGCAATCAGCATGAAACAATCAAACTATTTTAAGTTAACTCACGGTACTTCTACGCAGGGTTAGAATCTCTGATAAGTGTACGGCTCATGGAAACTTACCTGGAAAAAAGAAAAAGCAAAGCCAAAGTTAAAAAAATAAGTGGTTGGAATGAATACCATATTAGAAACATTAATTACCGGAATGTAAAATTTTATAAACATGCACTTTTCTTCCATCATACGGGTGTTTTTTTCGTTCATTGGAACTACATGAAAATATACGGAGGAACTTTCTCAACTTATCGATTTTGTCGAATTTTCCCCGGGTAAAACACTCGACTCGGAGAATATATGTATTTACGAAAAAATTTTCTTGAAATTTTCACTCTGTTTTGAATCGGGGAGAGATTTTTGGAATTTTTGAGAGGAACACTCACAAATTTTCCAGGAAATTCGTAATTTAAAAATAAAAATGTAGCATCGCTAGAGTGTTAAAATCACATTTCTTCTCACTACCGCAGCAGCATACTTAAATAAAACTATTATAATTTTATATTTTAGCATGCATGCTCTTTTAATGGTGTGAAAAGGGATTAAAGAATGGAAGGTTTGAGACTTCATGACCTTTCCTCACATTCTTTTCGGCTGGAGAAAAGCCACCGTACAGTATTTTTTCCCAAAAAATTGAAGGGTGAGAAAGGCTGGAGCTTTCAAATGTTCATTGCAATGCGCGGTTACGCACTTTAAGAGACATGTACATTGCAAATCATTCCCAAATATTTATGTTTTCACAGATTTATTTTACGGCAAAAGGTGTTGAGGAAAAATCCGATCTGTACTCAATATTTGAAGACTGGTTGGGCAACGGGTTGATCACCAGTGGAGGTAGGTACCTACGTGACATAGACTTTTGTAAATCGATGGTGGATCAAAAAATATTACAACCAGATGGTTCCCCTTTAAAATCTCACGCCGAGTTCCCTTTTTATTTCCCGCGAACAACCACAAAATATGATCCTCAGTGAATTTAGTGGCCAGTGATAGATTTTTCTTTGGTGATCACGTCTATCAGATGTACTTACATATAATTAACACGGAAAGGAATTTGGTGTTGGCTACCAGAATTCTCAGTGATAATACACAGTTAGATGGTCTAATAACCTCTACCCGAGGAGCAGTGATCGTGATAAGTTACGATTCGATCGGATAATATATCGTGACTTTATAGAATTCGATTTGCAATTCCATCGCTTAAATTTTATATAAAATTGCGATTTTACCGACGAAAATTTATCGCGATATCATTGAACAAAACGTGATAAATTGAGATAAAATTTTGATTTCATCGAACGCGATTATACGGAGATAAAATTGAGACAAGATCCAGGATAATCGATCAGATATTGATGATCCTATCGATTTTATCGCTAAAAATCCTGAGAAATCGCCACTTAATTTCAAAATATCGCAATTTTTTCATTTAACATGCTACTTAGACTTAGGTATCATGCTTTTTTCCGTGAGAGGTCTTAAAGTTGCAAAACGAGATGCAAGGGTTCAAGTTCAACAATAACGATTAGTTCTCACCGAAATCCATCAATTTCAATAAGTAGAGGGTAGAGACATCTTCTTATCCCTTTAATGCAAATGTTCTTTTTAGTCATTTGTGAAAAACTGTATACAACAAAAAAAAAAATGTTTTAATCCATAGAACACAACCGACGTAGTGGCCACGGCCGGTACCGGTAGCATAGGAAATAGATAAGCTTGTAAATATGATTAATTAATTTTGAATAGTTAATTACCCAATTTATCACATTTGAGAACCCATACAGATTTAGAAGAACTTTTATGTTAATACTATCATTACTTTACATGGATTGTGATTATAAATGATCTATGATTAATCTTTACGATTAATACGACTTTATAATTCTACAATAAGTTACATTTCTTGAGATCTCATGTCCAAAAAAAATCCACAGAACACGCTCATGAAGTATGGCCGTTTAACCGTGCATCACCCTGTATACTGATATTTCTAAAATGGTTTGGTGAATTTCAGGTGCTCTCTGGCACGAGCGGCGGAAGCTGATCACCCCGGCGTTCCACTTCAACATCCTGAATGGTCTTTGCGATACTTTAGTCCAGAATGCAGAACGCCTCGTCCAAAAGCTAAAAGAACACCCGGCGGACACACCAGTCAACGTGACCACATTAATGCACTTGGTCGCTCTGGATAACATTTGCGGTGAGCCAATGGCGATTCTTGAGAGTTGGCAACGTTGTTTTTCCTCCATTTGAAAGTATGTAAAATATAATCGATTTTCGGTGAGGTAGCTTAGAGTCCCTTTATACTGAGAGTCAAGACAATGTGAATCCATTTCTGATTGGTTCCCGTATTTTTGGCCTTCACAGTGTCACAAACGGGAATAAAGATTACATTTTCACCGATTGCAAAGATTATAATCTGGAGTGCACCAAGGAATTACGGGTTCGGCAAGGAGCAAATGGAATGAGAGAAGGAACGGAGAAAGGAATTAGAGAATGGACCGATCAAAGATTACAAAAAACGTTCAATTTCTGTAATCTTTATTCCCGTCTGTGACTCCATGAGGGGGTGTTGTCTTGACTCTCAGTATAAAGGGACTCTAAGGTAGCTTGGCTCGATTAAAATCAATATTTCCAATGGATCAGAGGCGGGTCCTGCAATTTAGCAGCACCTGATTCCCTCAATTTAAATCTCTGTTAGATGATCGATTCTTGTCGGAGCACCTGACTCCTTCAAACATCGATACATTTCCATAGGTTAAAATGGAGAAAAACAATGTTGCCAATTTGCTGGATCCACCAATGATTTAAACTGAGGAAAAACAGCGTTGCCAAATTGATACCTCACCCAGCGGTGAACTTATGAAAAAATCACGAAAATTAGCCTCGCCAAATTGCCAAATCCTTGGTTTTCCGCGAGGGTCCTTCCGTATCAATCTCACCGATCGAGGCAAATAATACGCAGGGGCAGGGCATTTAATTGATCGGAAATACCAGAAAAGTGCAGAATGCAATCTTCCTCATCACAAACTTGCACAAGCATCCAACAGACACACCGGTAAACGTGTTCCTGATGATGCACCAGTTTGTCACCCCTCTAACGTAAATGACGTATCTTATTTTCCACATGAACCCCGGGGAGCATAGGTGCATATGGAAATTAAGGCTCACGTTGAAATTGAGATACGCCGTTACGTCACGGGGGCGACGATTCGTGGTGAGCTTATTAACACTGTTTCAAGTTGGTGGATAATTTTCCCGTGCGATAAACGAAAATCGCCGTAACGCCAAGTGATTGTGGCATATAGCCCGTTGAAAGCGCGCGGATTATTTCATTAGCGTTATTCAAAGCGCTTTATCTGTGCGGAAGGAGAGGTTTCATTAGGGGCTCCAAGCTCCGAGTCGCGTTTCGACCTCTTTATTTGCCTTATCCATAGAATTTTAATGGCACAAAAGAAGAGATTGCGTGAGGGCTTCCGCTAGTAGAGATGCATTCGGATGGATTGGCTTCAAATCCGAGTGCGAATGTAAAATTCTGCCGTGCTAAGGAAGAACGCCGAATGAGCCTTCAGACGTTGCCAAGTTTCCTCCGATAGAAACTCAATTAACTGGGAAAATTGGAATATTTCCCCCCAAAATTTTCAGCCAATTTTGTACGCAATTTAATCGGACATATCTGAAAATTTCAAGGAAAAATATGCATACTCTGGAAAAAAAACACATTGGATCTAGAGTCCAGACTCTTGAAAACATTGACAAGAAAACGGACTCTTGATTCAATCAGATTTAAGCTTAAATCAAAAGGAAATCCGCTCAAATTAAGAGGCTTGGTTCTTGATTTAAGCTTAAATCTGATTGAATCAAGAGTATTTTTTCTTGTCGATGTTTTTAAGAGTCTGGACTCTAGATCCAATGTGTAAATTTTTCCAGTGTACGATTGTTCTCAAAAATACAGTTCTTATCAAGAAAAATTTGGCAACTCTCGAGTGTTCATACGGCGTTTTTCCTTATAGCACGGCGAATTGCATGCGGAAAATTTGAGCCGTTTTCGGCGCAATCCCGCAAATCCGCGATTAAACTCTTTAGTTTATCATAAAAACTACTGCCACGCTAAGATCAAGTTTAGGTGGGGAACATATAATTTCATGGACAGATTTGCAAAAACTGTAGAATTGTTTTCCCCTTTTTTGAGTATTTTATTCGTGTCGCTTATTTTCGCATTAGCTGGGATTCAGTCCTGATAAGCAACTGCCAGACCAAGAAATCTAAATACACTTCTTTGGTTAGATTAATTAAATAAATGCTGAGTTAGACCTCATCATCTGAAAGTAACGCATTTTTAAATCATAAATCATGCAAACGTACACCATTATATGATACTAGGGGGCTACGCCCCCTGGCCGCTACGCGGCCCAACCCCCTGAAGGCGCTCCGCGCCATCAATGGGCCGCTTCGCGGCCCTATTTTTACCCTCCTATCAGTGTTAGTTTTATTTTTCCCCTAAAAAAATACGATATGAGGTATACTTTAATTTTAAACTTTACTTAAAATTACTTTAAAATTAAAAGGACGC